AGGCTAGTGTTGTAGCTAATACACTTAGTTAAAAGACGAGAAATCGTAGCCAACATATTAGTTAAAGAATGGGAAATGATGAGTATTGTAAATGAGTTTATGTTATCACTAGGGACTCAAAATGGAAAAGTTAGGTTGTTTGCAATAGTTACAATACCACAACTTCTTACCAAAGTGTTAGAAGCTCAAAGATTTAATCAACAGACCGACTTTATTAAAGCACGATTAATGTTAAGAGAATCTTCATCGGATTGGACGATCCACCTAGATGGCAGTTTAAGGTATTTAGGTAGAATTTTTGTGCCAAATATCGAACTATTGAGAGGAGAAGTACTTTTTCATCATTTAGTTTTTGCAGTTCATCCAGGAGAAAACAAGATGAACCATGATCTCAAGCGGCGTATTGGTGGAGTGGAATGAAGAAAGACGTTGCTCAATTCATATCTAAGTGCTTAACATGTTAGAAAGTGAAGGCAAAATATCAGAAGCATGTAGGGAAGCTCCAACATTTACCAATACCTGAATGGAAATGGGAACACATAACAATGGATTTTGTAACGGGACTGTCCCGATCATTCCAAGGCCATGATGCCATTTGGGTTGTGGTTGATCGGTTAATTAAGACAGCACATTTCCTACCAATAGGACCAACAGACACACTCGAATCATTAAATCGATTATTTATTCGAGGAATCATTAGGTTGGATGAAGTACCAATCTCAATAGTGTTAGATCGTGACCCTCATTTTACATCATAATTTTTGGCAAAGTCTGCAAAAGGCTATAGGTATAGAGTTGTGTTTTAGTACGGATTTTCACCCTCAAACTGACAGTCAATCAGAAAGAACAATTCAGACTTTTGAAGACATGCTTCGATCTTGTGTGATGGATTTCAAGAGTAGTTGGGAGAGACACTTACCACTAGTCGAATTTGTTTACAATAATAGTTTTCAAACAAATATTGGTATGGAACCTTATAAAGCTTTGTATGGACGGCCTTGTCAATCGCCAATACGTTGGACGGAAGTTGGAGAAGCACTCCTTTTAGGACCAGAGTTAGTTTAAGAAACTACAGAGAATGTGAAATTAATTAGACAAAGACTTGAAACAAGAGGAAGACCTTTAGCATTTAAAGTTGGAGACCATGTGTTCCTAAAAATACAACATTGCCGAGGAGTTGTTCGTTTCAAAAAGAAGGGGAAGCTATCACCTCGCTTTATTAGGCCTTTCGAAATGTTAGATCAAATAGGAGAGGTGGTGTATCATTTGGCTCTACCACCTCTACTGGCTAGGATACATAATATTTTTCACATCTCTGTGATATGGAAATACAAGACGCACCCTTCTCACATCATCAACTGAGAAGAAATTAATCTTGATGAAAATGTGACATTCGAGGAAAAGCTTGTCGAAATTTTAGATCGTCGGGAGAAGAATTTACGAGATAAAACCATACCATTAGTGCGAGTTCTCTAGTGACATCGTGAGATGGAGGAGTCAATATGGGAACGAGAAGATATGATACGTGTTAACTACCCTCAACTTTTCAAATCTAAAGGTACAAATTAATTTTGAGGACAACTTTTTTTTTAAAGGGGTAGGTTATGAGAACCCCATATTTAATTATTCTTATAAATGCATTATATTATATGAATAATAAATGTAATCTTATTTAAACTATTTAACAAAATCAATATTGATTAAATTAGGTTAAAAAAAATCTAATTTAAAACTAAAAGAAAAAATATTACTAAGAATAATAATTTTGTGGGTATTCAATGTTTATTGTTATAATTATTTTTTACAATAATTCAACTTAATAATTACTCTTACTGAATATCTTAATTGAAAATCTTAATTAATTAATTTTAAAAAACACATACAAATACACAGTTACACAAATTTATCATTCAATTCAATTCAATTCAAAAAAAAAAAAAAAAAGGGTGGCTGGTGGGGGTGATTAGTCACCCACCACATGTAAGCTTGCATGTAAGGGTAGGGGATAGGGTGATTATGAGCTTTGGATATAGGAGATTTGATGTAATTTGATGAATGAGTGGGATTTGGCTTGTATGTATGAGACTAATCTCTTCCCTTCTCTTAACTTTGAAGGGAAATGTGAGTTAAGTAAAAAATAAATAAATAAATAAATAGTGAAAAATAAGTTAAGGTTAAGAAGAAGAAGGAAGACTAAAATTTTTCTTATCATTTTACCACCTTATTACAATCCTACTACTAAGTAAGAAAATCCTTTCAATCCTCTCTTTTTATTTTTTTTAATTATTTAAATTTTCATATTATATTCATATGCTAAAATGGCTAAAAATTTTAAATAGAATTTTGTTTGTAGTTGTATGTAAATTTGTGATATATATATATATATATATATATATTAAATATTTGAAAGTTCTTTTTATATTAGTAACCTTAAAATCATGATGTAATCTTGAAATTAAGTTTGCATGTGTAGTTTGTGACATCAAATAGATGATTAAAGATTTTATTTGGTTTGATCATATGATTATTAAATCTGACAGAATTTTATACTCATTTTTAGATAATTTTATACTCAAAATTTCAAAAGGATTTTTTTTACAAAGTTGTTAAGAATGATATCTAATTCTTCCAAAAATTTTTGTACCAATTATTCTAACTTGTATGAATTTATATGAAATTTTAGACAGATTCTGCAGCATGTTTGAAAAAATACTAAAAATCCTATATTAGACCAAATATGGTATTTTCTGAGTTAAAAATGAAATTTGAGAAATCCAATTTCATTCTCAAATTTTATATTATGGATTTGATTTACAAATTTCCGTATGAAATTATTTTAAGAAAATGGAAAGGATCTGTGTTATGTAATTTCTTGTAATTTTATAGAATTATTTATAACATATTCTTGTAATTTTATAGAATTATTTATAACTTATTTATGGGAAATTTTTTCTGAAAAATGATCATAACATGTCTATTGAAGGACTACATGAATTTTAGAATGAACTAAATAATTTGTTTGTAATTTTAACTACGAAAATTATATTCTGAAAATTTTGGATAGAGTATTAAAGAACCAAGATTACCACTTCAATTGTTTATTAGAAATAAAACTAAGTGTTGTGCTATTCTATTTAATTGGATCTTGTAAATTAGTGGTTCATACATGTGTGTTGTTGTGATTCATTTAAGTATTTAAAATTATTATTTGATATCATGACTTGATTTAACTGTTTACCGTAATTTTGCACATTGATTGATTATTGTAGAATGCATGTGTTAATATTTTCTGTTAAAAATTGTAATAAATTGTTATAACATTAATGGTGGTTTAATTTTATAATTATTTCTGATTATTATAAAAATTAACTAAAATAATTAACGACGTGTACAAAAATTAACAGTTGACAATTAATATCAATTGTTCAAGGTGAGCCTTGTTTTTTTTTTTTCTGAGAATTTGTACATAATTTGTGTTGCGAAATCCTATAATGGCATAGGACTTATTTAAACCCTTATCGATATTTTGTTTTGGAATAAGGGTGGATATCCATTTGGCACACATAGAGGTTACGTACCCTTGCCAGACCGTTCCCTTGGGACAGAGCATGGTTGCCACAGCTTGGGTATGTAACTCTAAGTGTGGGCATCATTGGTAGTTACTGTTGGTAACACTTGAATATTTAACCAATGGAGTATTTCAAATTAACCGTGGTCATACCTTAATGGTTGGTAAGTAAATCTCTTTGGTGAGATTTTGAGTGTCACTTAAATTATTAAAATTGCTAAAATTATTTTAATGGTTATTATATAGTCATGCTATTAATTTCGTTATTTTATCTTAAATGTTATGATTATTAATTTCATTATTTTATCTTAAAAAGAAATGTAGGTTTGTTGTGTTTTCTTACTGTGTTGCAAAACTCGTAACATATGTTTTGTTGCCTTGGCATTTTATGCCAGATTTTAATGAGGAAGGAATGGAAATTGAAAATGGAGTTGATGCTAAAATAAAGTTTTGGCTAACTTGAAGCTTATTGCGAAATAAAATTTTATTATTTTATATATTAATAATTAAAGACGTTATAATATTATTTAATGTTAAATTTGGACTCTTTTTTCTTTTTCTTTTTCTTAGTGTTATTTAAACTTTTGATTGTACGAGAATTGTAATTTCTTATTAAGATGTTAAGTTTTAATTTAATAAGTTATTTATTTATTTAATTTCCTTTAATGTTTTAAATTTTTTGAGGTGCCACATATATATAATTATAACGGAATGAAGTGATTTCAAAATGAATTATAAATGTTAAAATTTAATCTATAAATAATCGATAAAACAATGCAAATTAATTGATGTTGTTTTAACAGTTTTGTTAATATTTTGTGCCGTTTTGGGAACATTAGAAAAAAGCAGCGTTTTCATGCAAGGGGAAAAAAGCAATGCTTTGTAAAAACGCAACAAACACTATTTGGGAAGAGATAAAAATGCAAGTCTATCAAATTACATAACTACCCTCAGTCTTAACAAATTGAGACAAATTTTATAAGTTAGATAATGATATTTTAAGATAATTTGACACCATAAATAAATATTAAACAAAAAAATAAAAAGTCAATTTTTTATCAAATTCCCAAATCACTTTTTAAAAAAATTAAAAAATTTGATAAAAAGTCAAAAATTATTTTTCTACTAACTTTCCAAAACAAACCTTTGTACAGTATAATAACCAAATTTGATTCTCTTGGAAAAGGAGAAATCACAATTAATTAACTTTTATTTTACAAGAAAGAAAAAAGTATATGCAGAGTATAAAGTCATAGTTTTGTTTTTGTTGCCAAAACAAGTGAATTCAGAATTTGTGTGGTAAGCCATGACACCACCACACCACACCACACCACACCATTTTCCATTTACAGAGAAAACGACGTCGTACAGAAATCTGTGGAAAGGTCTACGGTCTAAAAGTGCGCCAAAGCCTCACACCCTCACTTGCTACGTTTCGCGCCCCACCCCTCTCTCTCTAAGTTTCTCGTGAGTCGTGTCTGTCTGTCTTCTCTCTCTGGCTTCTCTCTCTCTAGCACGCTTTATAATGCCCATCTCTCTCTCTCTCTCTCTCTCTCTCTCTCATGGATCGCAGGTAACGAATTGAAGATGGAGAAGTGAATGACAATCACCTTCAGAAAAAGCTCCATCGATCGCCTCTGCTCATCACGACCCTCTGATCAGCACCACCACCTCAGCTGAGATCACCTCTTTCGTACAGGTTTCTGATACATTCTCTGTCTCAGCTGTGTATCTTTCGATTTTGCTCGATTTACTCTTATATATATGTCCAAATAGAGTCCAATTTTATTATAGATTCTTGGTTTTGTAAAATCCAAAAAAAAAAAAAAATTTGGGGATCTTACAAAATCAAGAATCTATAATGAAAATTGACTCTATATGAACAGATATACAAGAGTAAATCTGTCCATATAGAATTTGATTTACTCTTGTATATCTGTTCATATAGAGTCAATTTTCATTATAGATTCTTCATCTTGTAAAATCCCCATTTTTATTTTTTTGTTGGTTGTTGACAGGAGAGTTTTTACCAGTTTTGGCTGTATATTGAAGGGTATTTGAAATTTTAACTTGGATTTTGGTATATGATGGATAATAATCTGAGGGATGATGTTATGGATCTTGATTTGAACCAAGAACCTTTGGACCAGTCTGCTGGATCCGTGTTAGGATTAGAATCTATATTGAATGAATTAGAAACAGCACATGGTCAGATTGAACAACGGATCCGACAGCTTGAGGCTGTTACAGCTAGGGCTAGGCAGCGCCAGAGGTGGCGACAAGCTCGAAACCCTCCTGAAACAAGTAATGCGTCAATTGAAATAATTGGCAACACTGGTAGTGAGACTACAGTTCAGAATATGGAGTATAGTGTTGCTTTGCAGGAAGGAATTGTTGATAGGGCTAAAAGTAGCAAAAGGGATAGATCCCATTTGGTTGCAATGGCTTTGGAATCGGATACGGATGTTAAAAAGGTTGTTGGTGATGGTGGGGGATTTTTCGATTGTAATATATGTTTGGACATGGCAAGAGAACCAATTTTGACTTGTTGCGGTCACTTGTTTTGTTGGGCGTGCTTTTATCAGTTGCCTTATGTTTATTCGACTGCTAAGGAATGTCCGGTTTGCAAGGGAGAGGTAACTGATAGGAATATCACTCCGATTTATGGCAATGGAAAGTTCACCCACATGTCGGACTCAGAGTCTAGCTTGAAGGTACCTCCAAGGCCCCAAGCACATCGGATAGAGAGTATTAGGCAACAACGTGTTAACCGGGGCATATCCCACATTCCTGTTGCTGAAGCACTTCGACGAATTAGAATGGGGATTGGTGCCACTGGGGAACGGGAACGCCAACAACGACAAGATCTTTATGGTCTAAGCATTGGCTCTAACAGAACCAATATGCCCAGTCAGGTTCCCATCCCTGAGATTTTGCCCCAAACTGAATTAGGAGGCAGCCGACGCCTCCGTTCTCGTCAGTTTTCGAGAGTATTATCAGAAAGTGCTGATTCACTTTTATCCATTTCATCTTCATTAAATAATGCGGAAAGATTATTTGATGACCTTGAGTCATATATTAATAACCATCTTTTGGAAACAAGTCATGGGCAGGCTCTATCATTTGGTGGAGGGGATACTTTTACTGGCAGTGCTTCTGTAGTACAACCAGAACACCAGACTGTAGATTCTAGTGCTGAAATCAATACTGCAACACTTACTGCTTCATCTTCTGAAAGAATTCATGTTTCTACTTCTGATGTACACCTGGAAAATCTAAGACATGATACAGCTACTGAAATCAATTTAACTGGGCCCCGTCCTTCTTCTTCGTCTTCCAGGAGAAGGATTCGCCTTTCCAGAGTTTTAGATGTGGACAATGGAATTTCTCGTGAATCTAGGAGGAGAAGATTGGGTTAATGTAGTTCTTTCTGCAATCTAGTTGTATTGCTAAATATTTAAGATTTCATTTGTTTAAGTCAGCTTGTTCACTAAAACATGAAAGTTGCCATCTGCAAATTAAAGTTAATTTATAATCATTCTGCAAAGCATTATTATTGACCTTGGTCAGTTTTATCCGTTCTCTGTTGAATGTTGGCTGCTGATTGTATGGCTAGGCACATCTGTAAGGCATAGAGCAGATCATCTTATTGGTAAGTGTTGTCAAGTCTATTGCAAGCTTTATATGTTTGAATACGTTGTGTAAGTACATAGAATTATTCCTTTATTTTATTACTTGCTTTCCTGGTGGTGTATCATTGGTTTTCTTTTCTCTGATGGCAAAATCAATGGGTTTTGGACTATGATTTACTTATCCAAAACAATAAATATGTGAAAGGTTTTGGTGTGTAATTGTTTTACTGTATGAAGTAATTTCAGTATTCATTCTTGGTGTGTGAAATTGCTTTGCAATGACTACTTGCCATATCATCTTCTTCATCTTTTATTCCTTTTAAAGATGCAATATGGATTTATTTATCTTTTTACAGTCAGTAGACTCTACTTGTTTCTGCTCTTAGTTGAATATGGGGTTTGGCTTACGAGGAGCGAAAACCACTCCTCTAGTAAAGATCTTTTTTATCATGCTTCTCTGATTCCACCTTACCTTTCTCTGTATCCAAAGTCCATTCATTTATGTGAAATGAAAAAGAAAGTAATCTGAGTCTAGACACACTCATGGTAGGAAGAACTGATGGAATAGGAGAACACAAATACCCTGAATGTGGCATTCAACTTTGCTTAGTTATTACTTTTTAGTTTTTACTATATTGACTAGGTTAAAAGAAGATATATCATCGTGTAATCTTCCTGTGTCCTCTTATCTTCTTCTTAGCCTGAATTTTAGAATAAGAACCCATATCATGTGGCATACTCCAATTTTTTCCCCCAGTGAAATGGACCACTGAGTGCTGTAGACACCCACTAATACTGTTCTGAGCCTGCACTTCGATATATAACTACTGTTCCAGCATTATTTCAAAATGCATTACCTTGCACCTATCTTTGATTTTGATGCTTTACAAAAATAGCTGTGTCAAGATGCAATGCCTTCCATCTTTCTGTTTCTTCATAGGTACTGTCTAAAGGTAATAATTTTTTTTGTTAAGTCATCAGTATGAACATTCAGTGAACCTACTTGCTTGTAGCAATAGAATTTTTTTTTTTTTCCTAACTCATATTGTGGCATTCAGATCTTGTTCTGGAATCTTCCCCTTGCAACCATATCTTCTATAATTCTTCTTTGCAGCTGAAATTTGGGTTTTTCATGTATCCTTTTAAATAAGGGCACTCTATCCATAAATCCAAATTTGAATTTTCTTTGGTTAAAGGCCTGCACTGTAAAATATTTCGTGTATAAGGATAAGCTAGCACAAAATGATCAAACTACCGATCAATATATATGTCATATGGTTCAAAACATATAGATCACCACCATCTTCTCTCTCTCTCTCTCTCCAACACCACCACTATCATCCTGTCACCTCCCATTCAACCCCCCCTCCCCCACCTTCCCCGTCTCTCTCCTCATCCACTCTCGCCCTCCTCCATGGCAGGATCATGCCCGACGTCGAGAGCTGGCCGGAAAGTCAAGATCTGGTTAAGATCACGCTCAATCTCTCTCTCTCTCTCCAATTCCAGTCACCGGAGACCAGATCTGGCACTGCCAACACCCTCCTCCGCCAGTCGCAAGATCCAGGTCCAGATCATGGTGTTTCTGGTTATATTATGCATAGATATGCATATACATGTATTTCTCTCTATATGTAGATAGTTGTTCCAAACTTCTTTCTCAGCTCAAGGTAATCAAAAGAAATGAACGAGATAAAGAAAGAGCAAAGAGAAGGCATCAGTCCCAATCATGCACAGGTAATTTTTTTAATCTCTTGGAGTGATATTTTAGGGAAGAATCTCTAATGCTTTTTTACTTGCTATCCTTTTGAAACTTTGTGGCATTTCTTGTCTCTTATTGCAAGGATGAGATAGATCATGAGATTCAGTATTTGTCACTAGTTCAACATTTCAAGTTAATGTTTTTAATATTTGCTTCTGATGGCCTCTTCACTTTTAAAAACTACCAAAAAGATGATATTTGTTTTTAATTTTTTTTGTCATTTATCATTTGTCTACTTTGTTGTTTTTAATATTTGTTTATGTATATATATATATATATATATAAGTTTTGTGGATATGAGATTTGGAAATCTGTTGAATCTAGTTTCTATTTGAATATATATAGTTTTATATATGTATCTTTGGTGCTGGAAATAATTGAATTGGATTTATTTATTTTTTGTCTGAAATGAATTGAATTGAATTGATTTGTATTTTTATTTTTTTGTGCAGGAAAGCATACTGATTAAAGAGGGGGTTTTTTTTTCAGAATTTGAGATGTAACAGAGATGACTCACATCCAAGGCTGCTGAACAGAGACTGGAATTCCAACAAACAAAAAAGTTTGTGAAATTTTAAATAGATAGATCAAACCTTTGTATTTTTTACACACACACAAAGAAATTCACAGATTTTAAACAGATAGAGAGAAATCCATAGATAGATTTCAGACAGATAAAAAGAGAAACTGAGAGTTTAAATAGATAGAGAAACTCAGATTTTGAACCAACAAAGGAAAAAAATTCAACAAATAAATATAAATTTGAATAGATAAAAAATAATTTGAACAGATAAATATAAATTTGAGCAAATAGGTTTAAAAAAGTCAATAGATAAATTAAAGGGTAAAATTAGAAACAGAATGTCTTTCAAAATCAATAAAAGGATTTCTCATTAAATTATTTCACAAAAAGTAGATCTTTCACCAATAAAAAAATATTTACTGAACTTAATATCTTATATCCTGCTAACTTGTGCTACGATTCTATTGAGATTGGATTGTATTTTGTCGACATATGCAGGGCAAGATTTAGTTTGGGAGAAGCATTACACGATTTCCCTAGATTTTGTCCAATGTTTGTGTGTTCTGGAATTTCCATGCTTCATATGCCACCCTTTTGTCATTTTTGGCTACTGTCATGAGAGAATACTGCAGCATGATTCCGTCTTTATTTTTCTGGTGTGTATGTGACAGAGTTTGTGAGCTTCTACTTTCTTGATTATCATATGGGTTGGCCACACAGGCCAGCTCAGCTCACTAATGGAATGAAAATTTTCTGCTAGCCTTTTTTTTTTCAATTATTATTATTATTTGTATAGCATTTTGATTTACTAGGTGATGGTGATGTAACAAAAAAATAAAAATAAAAATATCTTAATGACTACATTTGTATATTATAAAATATTTATCATTATTGTTTTAAAATGTCTCACCACTCATGTCTATTACCAATGCAGTAATAGTACATGAAATGAATATGAACATTAAAGTTATGATTAACTCTAAGATAGTTTGAGAATTAAAACAATAACATTGAATTAGATATTTCCACATGGGAAAATGTTTGAGAGTTGTTAAAAAGTATCTACAATTCTATCCACAATGATGTGGCAGGATATGTGTCAATTTTTAATTTGTTGCACACAATGATATTGGACCCAACTCTCATGCTGCATCATCGTAGATGAATTTGTAAGTATAAATGTGTAGATCTCTAACATTACACTTATATATATAATTTTTTTTTTTTTTTCCCTTGAGACAAACTATTTTTAAGTGGTGAATGAGGCTAAAAATTACAAATCAACGTGAATCTTCTCAAAATTACTTGTAATGAAAAAGTTGAAAAAGAATTACAAATTCATAGAATAATGATGAAAATACCCCACACCTTAGCCCCACCACTTCCCAACCTTATGTGGCTGACCCTCCCTTCAACACTCCACCCACCTCTGCCACAACCCCACCCACCTCACCTCCATGACCCTCAATCCATCCCCATCCAACCCAACACCATAGGCGATCCAAACCGTAGCTACCAACAGCACCCAAAAGCCTCCTACCCCTCCCATCACCACCCCGCACCTCTCCCCAGCCGCGGCAAATTTTAGAAATTACAAGTGAAATAAATGTAAGGTGCAAGTCTAATGAATTCAAGGTGCAAGTGACACAATCCCGGCAATTAGTTTGCAAATAGCTAATGCTGCCACTGGGCTCTCGAAATACTTGTTCCGCAACAAAGTCACGTAAATTGATCTCCAACGTGTACACCCACCAACAAAATAAACTACTAACAACATTTCAAATTTATAAATCACACTCGTATATGTTTGTATAGGAGCAGATTGGGTTAAACCTGGTTTCAGCACACTTGACAAGTCAAAGCTTATAACTTTTGACAAAAGCATTATAAGAAATACAGCACATGCAGCATACACACAAGAAACAAAAACAAAAAAAGGAGCTGCAATTGCTGTCAGAAAACGAGCTCAATATCAAATACCCAAGGAACACTACAACATTAATCATTAGTTTCCTTCTGAAAGAAGATGAATCCCACAACAAAATGATAATATTCCCATAACTATTGAAAGATTTAGCACAAATAAAATAGTTAAGCAACCGGCTTGCGCAGCTCGCCAGCTCCATGAGCAAAATGGCATCTTTCACCAAAAGTGCAGGAGCCTTTTGCAAAACTTTCACACATCTTTGTCTTGTAATTATTGCTTGCCGGAGCAGCAGCATGAGTTGGCTTGGTAGGACGATTGACTGCACCGACATTCATGATAAGATCACGTACCATGGCACTGGCCTGTTTGATCTGATCAAAGGTTCCTTCAAGCTCGATATTCTTTTGATTGGGATCTGAGTCATGCTCCTTTATTGAAAGCTTAACACCAGTCAGACGACAAATCTGCTTTGAGTTCACCCCACCCTTCCCAATGATTGCACCACCCAGGGATGCATCTATACTGATCTTGGCTGTAGCCGATGCACCAAAGTTGGCCGCAGCAGCTAGGTTAGGTTGGTGTGGTTCAACCCGTCCAGTTAACCTAGTACCCATCGATCCCATGCTTCGTGGATCTTCGTAGGTTGGGATATTGGGCTTGCCAAGCTCCCACTCACCATGAGCAAAACGGCATTTGTCACCAAACTTGCATCCTTCAGCTGTGTTGAATTTGTTGCAAAGCTTAGTCTTTGCAGTAGGAGCAGGACCATCGGAAAAGGGTGGTGGTGGGGCCATGCCATTTCTCACCGGAGGAATAGGATTCCCACCTAGGTTTGTCATCTGAGCAACTGCACTGAAGCCACCAGGAACATAATGCAAGAAGTGACATCCATCACCAAATGAGCATCCAGAAGTGCTGCACAGATGACGGGGCAAACCCATTAGATAGAAAAATAGGAATGAAAACGGGGCTTACTAAAATGTGTAAACTCAAATGAAGAAAAATCTCTTTTAAAAAGCTTATGAAGATCTTCATGTTATTCAATGTTCAGGGACTTGAACACCATAAACAGCACCAAAAGACTCCTAATGTATAAATAACTTAACTATATGTGATCTGATGACTATAAAACCAACCATTAACAATAAATAAATAAACCAAATAAGTAAAGGGAAATTTAGTCAAAACCCCTCCGTTGGACCTTTGTTTAGTGAGAATGACAGCCTAATTTATTTTTCTTCATAAACCCCCTAAGGAAAAAACACATAATTGAGTAAGGACAAAGTAAAATATCTTTTTTTTCTTTCTTAGACAATATTGCCAGAGTAACATATTATTGTAAACCAAAATAACATATTACTATCAAACATAGTAACATGTTACTGTCAAATAGAATAATTATCAAACAAAGTACCATGTTACTATTACTATTTACATCAATTTCAAAGGTAATAATTTTTTTTTTACAAAGAATTTCATAATCAACATGGATCTTATTTGATAGATCTTAATAAGAGAATTCTAAAAATATTAATTTTATTAAAAACTGACATCTACATCAAACGTTATATTATTTTAACGTTTAATATTTTGATAATAGTAATATCTATTGGACTTTTTAAGGAAAACTTTGTTGTTGTCCTTAATGCATTAAAATTTTATTATGAGGGGGTTTTGAAAAACACTAAAATGTTTGGTGAAAAGAAAGAAATACAACAAATTTTTGAAAAATGATTTTTATAGTCATGTTACTTGAAACCAAGTTACTATTTTATAAACCAATAAAGCAAGAATTAACTTATTGAGTTAATGTAAAGATAATTACATAACCAAGATAGAGCCTACTAAAACCTCAATGATATATATATATATATATATATCAATTTACTAAAATTGTAGTCACAAGTCACATAACAGGATGAGGCAACACTATTAAGATAGGAGCGTAGCAAAGTTGTTGATGGATCCAACTTACTTCACTCATGTCCTATTGTTATAAAAACATAGGCAGATATGGACTGTCGGAATTGCAACCATAGTTGTCAAATAAAGGATGGTACTGTGAAAAGAAACCCTACTAACTTTGCAAATCGTGAATAGAATATATTGAACCAAGAACCATTAAGATTCAGTACAAACTCTTAAAAAAATGATGTTAAAACAACTGTATATATGAAAAAAAAAAAATTAAATAAATTGATTTTAGCATGGTATAAAATACCTTTATATAAGGACATAGTTACACCATCTAATTAGGAAGGCATTTCATTTGTAACAAGAGATCTGGGTCCAAATCCCAACAACTTTAAAATTATTCAAAAACTATATAATATAATCTCCCTTGATATTTAAAAATGGACCTAGGAACTTTATATAGAGTATAATAAGAAGGAATTAAGTGAAATCCTTCATTTTAAAAGGTAAAACACTTTAAAAGGTCATTTATGCTTATTGTTCAAAAAAAACAAAAAAAAAGGTTTAAAAAAAAATTAAAAAAAAAAGTTGTGGAACCATTGGGTCTAATAATATTGAGGCTCCGTTTGGGAAGAAAAAAACCAGGCTTTTTTGGCTAAAATAGCCACAAAAAACAAAATAGGCTATTTTAGCCACAAAAAACAAAACATCAAATCCAAACCATAATCATTACAATCCTCTCTCACAAAAAAAACCAAAAAAGTCAAAAAGCCAAAAAGTCCTTCCCAAACCATGCTAAAATAGCCAAAAAGCCAACCCACTTCCCAAACGGAGGCTGAATCATATTTATTTCATTAAAATAGTTATAGATAATTCATGGGTGCAAAGTTATAATTAATTGAATTCTTTATTATTTTTTGATATAAAGGCAAAAACAAGATCGTTTCATGCATTATGGAAATAAAAACAAAAACAAAATTGAGAATCATAATGAATATAGTGAATAACAAATTAACTCACAAGATTCACTCAATTTTCAATTCAACAGAACAATTTAAATTATTTTACTTGAAATTCGTATCAAATTGTATGAATTGAATCGTGAATCACAATTCTAATAACCTCATTTTATAGTTTTTATGTCATATCCAACATAGTTATCTTACACATTTTCAAGTGTTCATTAACACAGGCATTCACTGTTAAATTAATCTTAACAAGGAACGTTTAGTAAGAATTTAATTGATACTTTCAAAAGGTACACGTACATAATATCAAGTTTACACAATTTACGAATTAGTTCTATTATTTCTCACCTTATCACATATATATATGTATAGTATATGCATAAACCATATACAACACAACACAAGAACATGTTAACTGTACTGAGAAACCCAAAACCAAACTATAATAGGGAAAAAGAAGTTACTGATCAAGAGATATCTTATCTAGGGAGAAAAGGGGGAAAAAATACAATTAGCAAATAGATAAGCACTATAGAATGCTTGCATTAAATTTTTAAGAATCACATATTGAGATTAGGTTTAGTCTTTTTTAAATATCAAGTAATACATAAAAGGCATCTGTAATGGAAAATACTATGTTCAGATCCAACAGGACATGTTTACTCATGCCAAGAATGTGCACATCCATGAAATATGGACGATAGAAAGTTATTTTGGTGATAATGATCCTAAGAGTTGGAACCATAAATACTAAGAGCTCGTTGGGCTCACAACTTTTTGGCTAAAAAAGTCAAAAAGTCACAAAAAATCAAAATGTCACATCAAACATATTGATCAATCATTTTTTTTCACTCACAACTATCTATTCAACTAAAAAATCATTCCAAACACGCTAACTTTTTTCACCTCACAAAAAAGCCAAAAAAGTACTAAAAAAGCCAAGTTGCCAAATGGGCACTTAGGCCCCGTTTGGGGACTTACCTTTTTAACCAAAAAGTCAAAAAGTTACCCTTTTAACCAAAAAGCCAACAACTCATACCAAAAAGTCAAAGATTCTCTTTTCTCTCTACTTTTTGCACATCTTTTCGTAATTAGCCAAAAAGTCATCCCAAACATACAAGTTTTTTTTACCTACCTTTTTAGCCAAATAGCCAAAAAGTTACTAAATTAGCCTGTTCCCAAACGAGGCCTTAGAGTCAAGGCCATTGTAATTTATCTAATCAGCAATACTACCATTCCCAGAAAAGAAAAGAAAAAAAGGAAAAAAAATCTAGAATTTTGAATCAATGGATGACATTCACTTAAAATAAAGCCCCACAACTACTTTAAATACAAATTATTGATATCAAATTTATAATAATTTTCTGATTTATTTTTAAAAAAATTATAAATAAGTTTATTTTTAAAAAATAATTACAGATTAATGATAAATTTTATCAACATTCATAAAGGAAGTCATAAATTTTTCAATGAATCTGTAATTATTTTGTTGAAAGCATACTCAATTGATATTTTCCTAATATTTTTTAGTTCTATTCAACAGAATAGTTTTTTTTTTTGGGTAAGTAATTC